CCTGTCGTCCCGAAAGAACTCGTAGGCCGAGCAAGAGAACGGAACAGAAGTCACTACGAAAAGTTCAGTGGTCTCAGCCAGTGATGAGAGAGATGGTTTTGATGATGGGATCCCCCTCACGGTTCGGCCAGGAGCTGGTTTCCGTGATCATAATAGATGTTTCTCGTTTGTCTGCTTTCTTTCCTGAGAATGAAGGTTTTGATGATGGAATATCCGGTAGAGAATGATTAGGAATGAGATCTACACCATTTCCTACTACTTCAATTCAACGACTAACGGCCTTAGTGGCGCACTAAGAAACTTTGCTCCCAACCAGCTTTCCAGATGCAATTGATTCTTTTCCCCCTGCACCGAGAAGAATTTCAGCATTCGAAACACCGGTCTCAAGATCTTAACCAATTGATTCTTTTCCCCTTGCACCTAAAGATGAACGGCTAGGAGCAGTAGCGTAAATCCCACCTATTCTCCTCAGATGGACAGATATCGAGGAATCACAGAATCTCCTTCCCCGCCTTCCTGGTCTGTATAAGGTTGACCATCTAATTTACGTAATATCAATCGCGATGGTTTCACACTTTTCATCCAGCAATGACCAGGTTCGTTCGCTAGGGAAGAGATAAAGATAGTGGGGAATGCCCCCTTGGGGTTCACCATTATAAGCATCAGATGGAGATGGATTAGGATCAACAGTAGTTGCCCTTTTTAAAACTTAAGGGTTGTATTCTTTTGTAAAATGCAGTTTAATCACCTCTAAATATAAAAGGATCAATGAGATTATCACCAATAGCTCCCTCCACCAGTACCAGGATTTGGAGATAGCACAGTCCGTACTATCGACTCCGAACCCCCAAATGGATATGCAAATAAAATCTCACCCTTAGCAGCATCTGCTTGAGATCGACTAGAAGAATTCTCAGGATTCGTTGAAGCTTTCGAAGGATCGATCATTAGCCGGTGGTTTAGGGCTGCAGTCAATTTCCCCCTCCCCGGATCCAACCTCCTTTACTCCCGATGCTTTCAATGGGTGGTCTATCGATCGACTCATCCTTCCCGGGCATTGAACAATAGATTATCCGATCAGTCGATCCGAAGCTTTCACCACTAGCGAACCCTGCAAATATGCTCAATTTCGTAAAAAATATGGGCGAGGTACCAAGGAGGAGTGGCCTTTCCAGAGGCCCGAGAAATAATGTTTTTGGCATCCCCCTCGACATACAACTGAGAACCCCAGGTTTGGGCAAGCTTCTTCAGGCCCAATAAAAGAGCCATAGCCTCTGTAAACTGAGAGTCTGCGTGGCCTAGGTGATATGAGTAAGAGGCCAAAATATTGCCGTTGTGGTCACGAAATGCACTCTAGCACCTCCTCTCGCATGAAAGCGAATGAATTGGTTGAACAGATTAAGGGAGGGCAAGAATGATTTCCAGGCGCCAAAGCGCATGGTCACAGGTCTACGCTCGGGCAGCCAAAGATCAGGTGAAATTCTATATTTGTTGTGAAGCACTTGGGCCAAAAGCGAGCTGTTCTAGATGGCCAACCTCCACCACCATTTACCCAACAACACTAAGTTGTGTTTTCTTAGAACTTTGATTCCTAAACCTCCCTGGAATTTCAGGAGGCACATTTTGTCCAAGGATATAAGGTGGAATTTGTTTGACTCAGCTTCACCAGACCAGAGGAAGTTCCTCATCAGTTGGTCGAGACGTTTAGCTACTGATGCGGGCATGTGGAATAAGGACATGAGGTAGACTAGGGCGTTGACCAGGGTAGCTTTGATGAGCGTGCTTCTCCATGCAAAGGACATGAATCTACCTTTCCATCCTGCCAATCTCCTGTCTACTTTGTCGATCACGTGAGACCACTGTCTGTTCTTTGGCTTCCCTAGACCCAGGGGCAAGCTAAGATATGAAGTGGGGAGATCCCCCACTTTACATTCCCATGATAAGGTTCTTAGTTTCAAGATTGGATAGGCCAACCCCTATCATTTTGGACTTTTCCATGTTTACTTTAAAGCCTATGGCATACTTAAAGCAAATCAGAAACAACCTAAGGCTATCAATTTTCTCAGGAACTGCATCTAGGAAGACTAACGTGTCATCTGCGTACTGCAGGTGGGAAACACACAGGCCATGCAGACTGCTTTTAAAGCCAGAGAGGAGACCGGCCTGGCACAAGCAAGAGATGGACTGACTGAAAACTTCTGCTAAAATAGCGAAGAGGAAAGGTGAGAAAGGGTCTCCTCGGCGAAGGCCCCTCGGGAACGGGAAGAAACCTTTCGGTGACCTATTGATGAGGACTGAGAAAGGTGGGTTGGAGTAGCAACCCCTCATCCACTTCCTCCAGCACTCACCAAACCCCATTCTTGACAAGGATTCGTCAAGGATTGACCAGTCAATGTGGTCGTAAGCCTTCTCCTAATCAATCTTACAAATTAAGCCCAGCTTTTTGCGGAGGTGTCGAGAGTGCAAGCACTCATGTGCCACCAGCACTCCGTCAAGGATTTGCCTATCTTTGATGACGGCGGACTGTGGGGGAGAGATGACGAGGGAAAGAACTTGTTTTAGCCTAGCGGCCAATACTTCGAAGAGGATCTTATAAGAGGAATTGACCAAACTGATTGGTCGGAAATCCTTCAATTCCTCTGCCCCTTCAATCTTTGGGACAAGCGCTATGAAGGTGGCATTGATGGCTTTATGGAGGATACCATGGTGGAAGAATTCCTCAAAGAAATTTAGGAAGTTTGTCTTGAAGGTGCCTCAAAAGAACTTAAAAGGGGCAATACGGAAGCCATCGGGGTCATTGTCTTTGCCCAAGTCCTCTATAGCTTCAAAAATCTCAAGTTCAGAAAAGGGGCGTGCCAACCAATGGACCCAATGAGTGGGAAGCATTTGGAATTGAAGATTTGCCCATACTAGGTCTAGGGACCGAGGGGGCGGAGTAAAGATTATGGAAGAAGGTGACAATGGCTGATTCGATGTCCAGGTCTCAGTCCAGAATCGTACTACCCTCCTTAATAGTGGAGATGAAATATCTCTTCTTCAACAGTTTGCAATACTGTGGAAAAACTCTGTGTTATGGTCCCCAGATTTGAGCCATGTTACTCTAAATCTCTGATACAAGTACAGTTCTTCTTTTTTCAGAGTTGAGAAGTACTCCAACTTTGTTTGAGATCTAAGACTAGCCTCTGAAGAGGATAACGGCCTAGATTCCTCAGTTTGATCTAAAACTTGGATAGCATTCAGTTGGGTTTGCTTAATTTGATAGGTTCCCAGGGATAGATCTACTCCAAGTTTTAAGGGAGGCTTTAAGTAATTGAATCTTTTTTTACAGCCTACAACCAGCTCTTCCCGAGACTTAAGAGGAAAAGGAATCCCACCATGCGGGTATAAGCGAAGAAAATGAGTCTTCTTCGAGCCATGCAAGTTCAAACCTAAAAGGTTTAGGGCCCCTTGGGACAGCTAGCGTGTCCAGGAGGATGGGACAATGGTCAGAGGTTGGCTTAGGCAAAGCAAGGGCATGTGAACCAGGGAAATCCTCATCCCATGAGGAGGATAGCAGGAACCTGCCCAATTTAGAGAGGGTTGGTTGGGATGAGTGGTCAAACCGCGTGAAGAGGTTCCCTTGGAGAGGACTATCTATTAATTCTGATGATGATGGTGAAATACACATCATGCATATTTTCTACTGTAATCCACTATTACAGGAACCATGGACTTGCACATCATGTTCCCAAAAAAAAAAGATCAATGCTCTTTTCCAATTATTAAGAACCTATGAAATGAGATGATAGATTTCAAATAAACCACCTTTTTATTATTCCAATTTTGAGATAAATTTCATACAAAATTATTCATTTGTTTGAAAATAAGTAACCGTAGTGTTTTAAATGGCAAACACGTTGCTAAACCCTGATTTTATCTTCACTATATAATTACTGAAACTGTTAGAGAGTCCTCTGAAATCTTACCAACAATTCATACGCAATACACAGTATCCCATAAGATAAACTTTCAAATACATAATGATCTCGATAGACTTAGTGATATCAACTCAACAACTCTGAAAATAATTGTTTGAAAATAAGTAACCATAGTGTTTTAAATGGAAAACACATTGCTAAACCCTGATTTTATCTTCACTATAATTACTGAAACTGTTTACCCAATGCTGAGATAGTCCTTTGAAACTTACCAACAATTCATATGCAATACACAGTATCCAATAAGATAAACTTTCAAATACATAATGATCTCGAAACACTTAAATGATATCAACTCACCAACTCCAGAAATAAACGGTAAGATATATAAACACACATGCAAGCTCTCAAAAAATAAATATACATGCAAGTCTTATTATGAGACTATAGCCTACTAATTGAACACGATTGATGATAATATTGGATGAGATATAGTACATATTATTATAGTGCTCTGATGGCACTAAGTTAAGATGTATCTTCACTAACTATTCACCATAAAAAGAAAGATACACCCAGAAAATTAAGCAGATTAAGATCAATGTTGTGTATGTGCATGAAAATGCAATTAAGAAGACCAGAAAGAGCAGAAACATTAGAAAGATACAGTTAGTAGAAAATAATCAAATACAATAAAAGCCCAAATTTAGCAGTGTCCTTTTTTCAGTTCTTCCAAAGAACTCTCAGAACATTAAAGAATCAAGAGTACATGAACTTATGCATGTTAACATGTCTTTCTGCTTAAGTTCTGATTGAATATAGAATCATTCATCTCCAAGAGAAAACAACAGTAGTATGTTAGCTTCATCGTTTGCTGCTAATTAAAATTTTGAAAAAATAATGAGATGCAAGGATAAGCATGCCACCCATCTTAAATATAAATATCATGGTCAAGACTAAATGAAATTAACCAACTCAGTGACACTTTACAGGAAAAGGATTTTCAAACAGCTAATTCAATTTCATAAACAACGAACAATGGGGCAAACAAATTGCAAACATGGATTATCAGGATATACTTACTTGAATCAGGATCGATTCTTCAGGGGTTAGCAACATTGGACTTCCATCCACAGGTGACTGGACAGAAAATTGAACTATGAGATGCATACGTGACCAAATTGCATTGAAAAAAAACACTATAATACATGTAATTTGGACTCCAGTAAAAAACAAAGAAAAGGGTTGCAGACGATTTTGCTTAAATGACAGGCTGAAAATGATGCCAGTAGTTCTGAACAAACAGAACATCAAAAACTGATAAGGATGATTTCTGCTTACACAGACAAATGATAGCAGCACAAATTACTAGCAGAAACAATTAAAAGCCACCTTGGTTATTCCTTTTTAAATTTATAGTAGCATGCAAATTTGCTGCCTCTAGCCCATTTTCCTCAAGTCCACTACATTTTAGTACAATATTAGTTTGTCAAACAAAAACCAGAAGTAAGAACCAACAAAAGACAAATAACTTGGAGTTTGATGAGATAGAAGTATTAAAAAACGCATCACTAAATCGAATTCAAAAATCAATCCTGCATTATAAACTCAAACTTTAACGGTTTTTTTTTTAGAATGTAACTCAAAAATTTCATGGTTGTGAATGCATTTGTATTATTAAAAATGATGTCGGTTATATATTCTTTAATAAGGTATTATACCCATAGAAAAACTCCGTCTTGGCCAGCCCTAAGCCGGTCATGTTAGTCTCAAACTTGAGTAAAGGAAGAGGATTGTGTTAGGTAGGGCAGCCAGCATAAAACTTTACTAACTCTTGTTATGACAGCCAACCCCAAATAGTTGGGATATGGCTCAGATGATGATGATGATGACTATAGTCATAGAAAGAGATGATCACTTATGCCGAGCCACTTGATGTGGGCGAACTGCTCAATGTGCTCAAGAGATCTTTAAACTGCTAGTAGATGCTGAATGGAAAATCAGGACTACTACAAGGACAATAGAACCTTGGACTTTACAAGCACCAGAAGCTCGAGTCACAAGAGTCATAATCAAGTTTTCACACAGACTCAGTCAAAACTGAAATAAAGACCTGCTCCAGGTCAAATCTTGTGGAGAAACCCCCATGTCTATCAGCTTTATGTTTGTACGTGTAATCACCATCCCACTGTGTAAACTTGGACTTCAAATTGGAGTGGAGGCAGATATATCTGGAAAATGTGGCATTGTTTCATTGTTTTCATAGTGAAGAGGTCTAATACCTGTCAGTGAAACTAAGTCTCATCACTAAATATCCAAGAACTGCCATGGACTCTTTCAAAAATGTACTTATACCCTACTATTGCACATGTGAACCACAAGACTTACAAAAGCCAGTAGCAACTGCATCACATCAATATGCCAATTCACAATATCGCTGGTCCAATGATTAGATTGTGGCAGGTCAGTGGGATGGAAATATCCATTTCAACTAATATGATGCAATTCAATTGATGCTAAAGAACTACACAAAAATTATCATGATTTGCATCAAAGAGTTTAAATTTAAGAAGGCATGTTTCCCTACAGGAAGAAAAGATAAAATATTAAGGGAAAATATCAATGAAATGGTCAAACTATCTCGGAAAATCATTGAAGTGGTCAAATCAACCAATTTATCAAAGAAGTAACTGCTTTAAAAATATCATTTCCCTCAAGTACCTCCTCTATTGTTTTTATTAAAAAATCCAAAATGCCCCTGTTCACGATTTTGAGCTCTAAGCAAGAAGGAGTATTTAGTAATTTGGTACATGACACGAGTGGAATTAAATTACCAAAAATGTCCCTGCTTGTTCCAAGTTCCATACCTAGACCAAGAGATTTTGATTTTGAAAAACAACTACAAGTTCCAGGTTAGGAGCCTAGAACAAGCAAGGAGACGTCATTTAGATTGGGCCACTTAAATTGATCCAAATAATATAAATAACCCACCATGTTTCAAGTTCATGTTCAACAAAACTAAATGTTCCAGGTTTAGATCCCAGACAAGCAGGGTATTCTTGTCCTTTGCCTCAGGCCGTCTAAGCGGACAAAATTAACAAAATATCCAAGCATGTTCAGATTTCCAACCCTTGAACAGAGGCAGAGGCATTTTTTGACAAAATAGTTGAGAAGGTACTAGACTGAAATAATCTTTTTGAGATGACCCCTTTGTTGATAAATTGATTGATTTTGTGACCACCTCAATTATTTTTAAGGTGGTTTGCCCATTTTAATAATATCATCCCAAATTTAATTCCATTCTTAGAAGTCAATCTGCACTATAAATGATCAAAGAAAACAAAATCAAGAATGGGACTGTAGATGCCATAAAGATCTATACAAGTTTAATAGAAAACCTCAGTTTCTAGTCAGTAGCGCATATGATTACGCAAGTTTAACTTTATGAACATGAATCTTACCTGAAAGGTTACACCCTTTTCAGTAATATCAGCTAAGTGCAACAAGGAAACCTACATAAATGTAAAGAAATAAGTCATTCCAAATCACCTTCACTCAAATGATGCAAAATTTCATTATAAACGTAACTAACTCAGGTGAACAGAACATAGAAGAAGCACAGTACCTTAGCTCATTAACATTGTGATATCAAAGGAATGACCAAAGATACAATAATAAAGAAAAAACTACATGGATTTAGAAGAAAAACTTGCTATATGACAGGTCAACCCCCTTGGCCATGCTAACATGCACTATTGAAATCTATATTGTAAAACAAGGACAACTTGCTAAGGTCCCAAGCCATGTCGAGTCTGTTAGAGACACGGCCTGAGTCCAAACCAAAAAAATGTGAACAAAGGGAATTGTAAGAATTACTATCCTAGAATCTAGATATAAATTTGCTCCGAAATCCAACAAGAGCAAAGCAAAATAGATTTAGAGCTAGAATGTGACTAACATTCAGTAATACAGTACTATTTAAATTAAAGATGGAAGCCATCTTATATATGTGTTATTAGTTCCCCCTCAATGATTGCCCAGACCATGAAGACTCTAAGATGAAGGATGTTGGGTGTGTAAGAATGGCATTCCAAGTGATCACAATTTAAAAATTTTCAATGCAAGTCCCTTGTACACTCATTCATATACACATGTTCAACAAATTCACAGAAATACACCATTATGGACTCAATATAAACTGAAACAAGCCGAAACTTAGGCCCAAACTGCACCTCTAAATAGCCCCAACACAATTTTCCAATCAACCATACACTTGAGATTGCAAAATACAAGACTATAGGCACATATACAAAATTCAGCACATGTATTATATAAACCAACTTATATAGAACTCCTCCATGAATGAGTGGCAAGAGCCGCAAGACAAGAAAGGAAAGAATTCATAATGAATCTGAAAGAACTTAGGGGTAGCTCCAACAGGCAATACAATGAGGGAAAGTAGATTTATATGTTCTAGCCATATACAACGTCTACCTACAACAGCACAATTAGGAGGGGTGCTTTGGTTCAAGTGAAACACTCTAAAAGGGCAAGGAGAAGGCCTAAAAGGACATAGATGAAAGTAGTGAGAAGAGTTATGTTGACTTATGGTCTAACTAGGGGTATGGCTAGGGGTAAGAATGGACCCGATCCGGATCTGAAACCCAGAATTTGGACTATATTCGGATCCGGGTATGGACCCCAAATTTGGATCTAAAATCCGGATCTGGACCCAAAAGTCAAGTCCGAATTGAAATCAAGATCGGTTCCAAATGCAAGTGGATCCGATCCGGATCCCACCTGATTTTTTTTAAATAGGATATTTTTATTTGGAAAAGAATCACGTACACCTGCTCGCGCACAAAGCACCCATATGCCCACGGTGGAGATTCAAAATAAAAAACGGACGGGGCACAATGAACAATTTTTCCACACTTTTCCATACACTTTTCTTCTCTCTCTCTCTCTCTCTCTTCTCTCTCCTCTCTCTCTCTCTCTCTCTCTCTCTCTCTCTCTCTCTCTCTCTCTCTCTCTCTCTCTCTCTCTCTCTCTCTCTCTCTCTCTCTCTCTC